TGTCCAAGGCCAGGCTGGATGAGGCTTGGAGCAACCTGGTCTAGTGGAAGGTGTCCCTGCCCATGGCAGGGGGTGGCACTGGGTGGGCTTTCAGGTCCCTTCCCACCCAAACTGTTGTGTGGTTCTATGAAAAGATTTCAAACATCATAAAGGCACTGTACGCCTGAGCTTCACAGCCCTTCAGAGCTCATCGGAAAGGCTGGCTGGGCTCTTACAGGTGCCAGTTGCTGGGTGAAGAACAGGTATGTTGAGATAAAAGATTAACGAGCATTTTGCCCCATCATCTCTTGGCTGTGTGAAAATGATGGGTCTGAGCTGCCCATCCTGAAGCCAGCAGTGCCAGGCTGCCCAGGTGGGATTAAAGTTTTTGACAACACCATCAGGCTTTTTTTTTTTTTGAGCACAACCCATGCACTGACTGTGTGGCTCCTCCGGGCAAGCCTGTGCAATTTGTACATCTGATTATTAATGCAAACGCTACTGGGAATCACGGGTGGAGCAGTTACCGGACGTCTCTGGCCTTGGCTCAGCGCTTCTGGGGGCTCCGGGGGATGTGGGTGCTGCGGGTGCTGCCGTGCTGCCGCCGCCTTTCGTTGCCCTGACTGTGGCCGTGGCCGTGGCTGTGTCTGTCGAAGCTTTACCTGGGTGCAGAGGAAGGCGTTAAGGGATACTGTCCCCCCACCCCAGCCCTGAGCCCCTGCTTGCCCCCGAGGGTCCCCGCGGGCAGGGCGGGGAAGCGTTAGCTGCTTTCACAAATTTACTTTCTTTTTGCCCCAAAATGGGAGGCTGCTGTAGAAGCTCAGAGACTAAACATTTCATACCCAACTTTTCGGTGCAGCCTCTGCAGATGCTCCAGGGCTCTTGGGGTGGTTCTGGAGGAGGGCAGGGTTCTTTCTGCCCCCCTCCTGCCCCATCCTCGGGCTTAGCGAGGGACACACAAGGCTCTGCACAAAGCTGGATTTCGTAGTAGTTTGGCTTTATAATCCCTGGAGGAAAGACTCAGGCCTTGGAAGAGATCGCTTGTGCGTCTCAGGAAAAATAACTTGGATTTGCAGTTGCAGGCACATTCTCAAAGTAAACAGAAACATTCCCATTGGCCTGGGATCAGCTCTGACTCATGAGCAAAAACATCTTTGGAGGTAAAGCTGACTGTTTGGAGAACGGCTTGCTGTTCTAACTTAAAGTTTATATATTGCTTCCTGGTATGCTGCAAAGATGACACTTTCAGCTTTTCCTTCTGAAACGAACTATATGAGTCAGTGAAAATGCATTTCTTCCCATTCCTTAACCTTTTCTGTTCTGAAGATCTGTGTTCATTTTTTATGAAGCTTCACTCTCTGCTCCAGGACTGTTGCTCTTTAAGATTCTTATCCAGATACTAAAGAGAAAATCATACAAAATATGTTGTTTCATTTGTATTTCTGCCCAGGGGAGCCCGAGCTCCAAGAAGCGTTACTTCATCCTTCCAAACAACCCCTGGAGATGGAGCAGCACTAACAGGTCCTGACCAGCCGCCCAGCACCAGGGCAGCGGCTGGGCCGAACGCATCCGCTGCCAGTTAAACCTGCATTTACTGTGCACCGTGGTATTGCCCCGGCGGGGATGCTTCTGAGTTGGGGTGGCTGTGCTTTGCTGGATCAGCTCCAGGGAACCCAGGTGGTTTATGAAAAGCAAAGACCGAGACCACCACGGTGCATTTTGACAATGGGTGACAGCGGGCAGGGCTGCTCGGCTGTTCCTGCAGCCTGTGGGGTTGTTGTATCGGAGGGGCGTACCCATGGGGCTGCCCGTGCTGGTGCATCCTGTCCTGTCCCATCCCATCGCATCCCGTCCCATCCTGGGCGGGCTGCAGCTGCTCTGGGCGCGGGAGCACCGGAGGGGAGGCGGGGGCCCTGCCGAGGGCTCCGTGCAGGTGTCTGGAGCTGGGATTTAGGTTCTGGCACAGCTTTTATTTAAGGGAGAAGTTTCCCATCTCCAAGACAATTCAGTTCCAACTGGTTAAATCACCGAGTTTTTCTGATGAATTTTAACAAATCAAAAGCAGGAGGCATGACTGCCTGCCCGGAATAATGAGTAGCACAAAGTTAAATCCACGCTTGGCATAAAGCTTTGGGTTTGCATGGACATCAGCAGTAAATTTTACATCACCAGAACAATGCAGCGCCTGGACTTGACCTCCCCAAGTGTCACAGCCACCCAAGCACCTCTGAACTATTCCAGATGTTTTTTAAGCACCAGAGGTATTTCTAATCAAAGTCTTTTCACCACCAAATATCATAAATTGAAGCCTGGATTATTGCTTAGTGTAATTTCTGAGAAGGCTTGTCACATATTATTTCTTTTTTTCCCTTTGTTGTAGTGTACGCAGGCACTTTCACAGAAAACATGGCTAAGTTTTTTGAAACCTCAGGACTCATGAGATAAATAACGATCCAGATGTGAGCTGGATAATCCATACGGTGCTCAGCTAAAGTGGGTCATTTATTGCACCATACTTTTTTACTAGCTTTGCTAAACTTTGGTCAATTTGATAGTATTAAGGGTTTCAGAGTTTAAGCCAAGCCATTTATTAACCTGGGAGAAATCTTCACCTGGTAGTGCTAGCACATGCAGGAGCAAAAGCACGCGGATACGTGTAAGAAAACTGTCCTTCACGGTACCTGTTGTATTTACCTGTCTAGCTGTTAAAAAGGAAATGCCTCTGAGTTTTAAGGATAGCTTAATAATGGGGCTTAGGAAGAATCTCAGCTCAAATCGAATTAAAAAGGGCGACAATATAAATGTTAAGGTGGTTGCCTTGGTCCAACACTCATCCCTGAGCACTAAGCCAGGACCACAGACGGCAAAACTGCAGCGGCGAAGGCGCAGGAAACAGGAGAAGAGTTCCCAGGATTTGTGCCCTCCTCTGCACCTGCAGCGAATTAAACACGGGGGTCTCTCCCCTACAAGCTGGAGGCTGCAACCCCCGGGGGGATGCCCAGCCAGTGCCACTTCCAGCTGCCACAGGGATCCCTTGGTAAACCCTCTGGTAAACCCTTTGCTAACCGGGTGCCTAATTCAGCGCCGTCACGCAGAAGCCCCGTCCCGGGACAGTTTCTTGCCTCGTCCGTGTGTTTAACGTGTTTTTCCATGTGCTGGCGCTGCACCCAAGGGCTCAGCTATGGCGCAGGTCACCGGCACACCAGTACCCCTGGTTCCAGAGGCGGCGGAGGAGGGCGAGGAAGCCAGGGAGCAGGGAGCTGAGGGGATGCAGCCGGCCCAGGCTTCCCCCAGCAGCTCCGGCGAGGGTTCCAGCCTTTCCTTACTCACGCCTCTCCAGTTTTACTGCTCCGAGCCATGTGGCAGGAATTCAAGCGGGTGGAGCCCTCTTCCCTCTGGAAACATCTGATAAAAATCCCTTTCCTCCCCCTTTTCCTCCCCTCAGACAGGATATGGGTGTGGGGCTGCAGTCACGCAGGGTGCACAGGGCTGGGGGCTGTGGGGAGCCCCCCAAACCAAACCCCAGCTGCCCCACTGGGGCTTGCCGTGGGCTCGGGGCCTCTCCGAGGATGGAGGCTGCTCCTGGCTCACGCAGTTGTGACGTGCAGCCCTCTGAAGGATGTTAAACTCAAGTGGCTGTGGGTTCTAAAGCCCCTTTTGCTTCCCTGATCTTTACAGCTTTTCTTGTAAAAAGAATGGAGGAAAGAAGGAATGCTTTAAAATAACAAGAAAAGGGATTTTGTAAAAAAATCAAGTTTTGCAGGGATAAACAAAAATTATTAAAAAAAAATACAGGTTTTATAAAGGAAGGTGTTTGTATTGGGTACAAACAGAATATATACTCTCTTTCCCATGTGAGTTCTGAGACAAGCACAGGACAGCTCTCTGCAAGGCTTGTCAATACCCAATCTTGCCCCGCTCACCGCTCGCAGCATCACGCGAGGGTTCTCAAGCTGCCCAGAGCATCAGCCCACTCAGTGCAACTCGGCGGTTCCCCAGAGGATCAGGCAAACCCCAGAACTGAGCCGCTCACACGCGAGTCGTTCCACGCGAGGCTGGACGGGGCTGCTGGATGCTCGGGGCGGTTGGTACCCAGCCGCCCTGCTCCCCATGCCACATCCACATGTGGCACATGTGGCACACGCGGAAGACCCGTGCCTGGCGTGGCACAAGGGCTTTTTCTCCCCTCTTTAAAACATACGGTTTTAGCTGAAGCTGTCCTGGGGGGCAGGTGGAGGCCAGCCAGACCACCCTCAGCAGCGCTGCCAGGATCAAACCTGAGCAGAAAACCCCCAGAATCAGGATTTCCATCAGGAGATACCCAACTGAAACCTTCACTCCGACTCCCCAATGAGGGAATAACTATGCAGAGCCCCAAGGATGGGCTCCCTCTTTCTTCGCTGCTCTGCACAGCAGCTACGTGGAAGAGAAATAAACCTCCTCTGCTTCCCGGTGAGTGCTAATAAAGCACTGTAATATCCTGCAGAAATGCGGAGCGTTGGCAAAAGGAATGAGACTTTGCAGCATTAAACCCTCTGTCGCCCCTAGCTTTGTCTTTGCAAAGGCAAAGCTTTTTATCACTTTTGCATCACTTTGTACTACAAGGAACTTGGATTTCGCATTTCAGGTAAACACTCTTGTCTTACACCCTTGCTCGCTGCTCACTCCAGCCCAACCAGACAGTCCTGCATTTCATTTCTCTCAGGTAAAATGGGGTTTTTCTCCTTCCTGTAGAATTAACATAGACTGGAAGGTCAGGCGCAATGGCTCGGGTGAGCAATACACCTCAGCAGCAAAGGGAACATGAAAGAACCACCATGAAACAGAAGAACAAAATCCAGCAAACCCTTTCAATAGATCTAGTCGCTGACGTTCCTGTGAGTAAGGAAAAATTACATTTGAGGAGACACCCGCAGGTTCCTGGCTCCTCTCCCAGCACACCATGCAGCCCACGGAGTGCTGCTTCACTTTGTTTTAAGTCCCTTTTTATTACTTTATGGTTCTTGGGTTTGGGACAAAAATGATAATATTTCCCTAAAATATAACCCTTTAGAAAGTACAGCCTAGAGAAAACCTCTGCATTATTACTCACTTTTTCATATGATGAATATTTGAAGCGCTGGAATATATTTTAATATTTATGGAGATTCATTTGATTTTCAGAAAATGATTAGCTCCTACCAGAGAAGAGAAGCGAGGCTAACGTACACCAGCGCAGACTGAGAAACGACCCGGACTCTGCACGCGCATCCCCCTGTGTTACCCGGCCCGTTACAGGGAGCTCTCGCATCCCCACAGCTCTCCTTTTCAGACCAGCAGCATCCGCTGCCTGCAGCACGTTGCTGTGAATGGGTTGGCCAGGATGCCTCACGCAGTGCTGCTCTGGAAAAATGTCCCCGCAGTGCTCTGTGTGGAATTGCCACTAAACACCCATGAAAATGCACACACACACACACACCCTCCCCGGCTGCTGCTTCAGAAGTTACACACAAGCTGCCCCATGCACAAGTCTCACGCTGCTGCTCCTCAGCGCGTGCGACCCTGGTATGCCGTGCAGCCAACACTCACCAGACAACTCCACAACGCAGAACGCAATCCAGAAAAGCTGCCTCCACTTCATCATTTTTAACCTTCCCATCCTGCTCGCAGCTCCCACTAAAACTGGCTCCGGCTGGGACAGGGGTTTCAGTCCTGCAGCAGCTCTGAGCTCATCTAGCTTGGTTGTAGTTCAAGCCTTTGAGATCACTCGGTTGTGGGGTGGGTTTCTCTTCAGGGGTTGTGCTTACGGTTCAAGGCTGCGAGGTGGAGTTTCTCCGACTTGATTTCACAGTTTTATATAGTTCACGGAAACCTCACTATCACTTAGGTAATTTTCTCCTCCCCACTTTCCTGCCAGCGCTTCAAAACAAACAAGAGGAACCCTCTCCCCGGCGAAGGATCCCAAAGCCTGGCTGGGATTAACTCTTTCCTGAGAGCTGCCTGCTTTCCCATTCAAGTGAAGGCTCCAGCTGGAAGGAAGGATTACAGTGGAGCCTGCTGCCAAACTTCCCGCAAAGCAAAGTAAACACAATCTGAAGGGAGCAGAGAAGCAGAGAAACCCCAGGTCCAGCCACCGCCGGCGAGCCCCGTGCTCGGTCCCAGGGCTGTGCTGTGGTCAGTGCTGTGGAAAGGGGGGAACTCTGAAAACTGGCTTCAGAATCGGAAATTTTCTCAGCAAATTAAGCAAGGAACTCAAGGATGCAAAATCACCAGTGACCTGAAGAGAAGTAACTCCATTAGCTTCACTAAATTGACTTTGGTCAAACAGCGAGCACGAATGAAATGGTTTAGAGAAGGTCTGGGGGAAAGAAAAACCCAGAGGCAAAAGCTGCTGCGCAAAACCTGGAGCAGAAGAGGGACTCGAGACTAATAAATAACTTCCTGGAGCTCATTTCCATTAATAACGCATTATAGAAACATTAAAAACAGTATAGAAATACTGGCTTCAGTTTTATTACCAGGCTGAACTTGACCAAGTGGAAATGGTTGGACCTGGCTTTCCGGTTCTCCGGTGGTTGCACTGTGGGCGCCCGTGGGACCAGGGCTGGAACCGGCAGGATGAGGGATGCTCTGCAGCAGGCAGCAAACAGGGCTGAGTGAATGCAGCCTAATGGGGCCTTAAGAGACACAAACATCTCCAAAATCATTTTTAAAAAAGTCATAATTTTAATTGTCATCTTTATTTTTTTTAATAGATTGATGTTTCCATTTCTTGACTTCTTTTCTGTCTGGGGACACCAAAGCCAACAGAAATGTCTTAGTAATCATTTTGGCCTTTGGGGATTAAAAACATAAAAAGACGTGACCGTTTGGGAAACTAAACTCTAGTTAAGTCCAAATTCTTCCTTTTCTTTTACACCTGAATGATGCAGTCACTAAAGGAGTCATTGCTAGCAGGAAATCAAAGCTGAGGTGGCCAGGAAAACTGCTATGGGAGGAAGGACAATGAAGCACTTGCTCAGCGTGGCATCTGTCTGTGGATGCTCCCGTTACACTCCCACAGTCATACAGCTACAGTCAGCAAGAGGATTATAAGGCAGGAATTAAAAAAAAAAAAAGAAAAAAAAAGAGAGGGTAGTATTATGCACAAAGAAATCCCCAAATAGCATTTCCAGAACATGCATTTATCAGTAGGACAAAACTCCAATAGCTTTTGTTTTCGCATAGGACAGGGGTTGGATGAGACGATGTTTAACAGTCACTTCCAACTCAAACCGTTCTGTGATTCTGTGATAGGCGAATGTCTCTTGGAAGGAAACATCTGTAACGAAGAAACGTGCTCCAGTCTCTATATAAAGATTTCCATTATGTTCGGCAATCTATTACTTCATGGCAGAGCCATACAGCTCTATTAGAGACCAAAATACCCCAGTAAAATACGGTCGACAACACAGTGTAAAACGCTCAGTGTGGACACAGCTGCCTCCAACAGCTCCCAGCAAGCATTTTCTCTTTTCCCCTCACCCAAACACACACTGGGAAACGCATGACTCAGGTTTGCATGCCTCTCAGTTTAGAAAATATATTGAAATTATGAAATGAGAAAAGTAGAGTGAGACAAAGGTCCTATTTAAATAACAGATTTTTGTGGCTCTTTTCTGTTTGAGAATTTGGGTTGGATCACACAACTAAAAATAAAAAGCCGACATTTCAAACATATCAGGCTCTAGGAAGACAGATCAGATCACTTTCTGGTGAGGACCAACATCCCATCACTCTGAACAGCATCCAGAAAAGCTGCTGAGCTGCCTCCGGCAGAACAGGGTGTGGGACCACTCATACCGTAAAGCCAAAAATCTTAGACAGTCGCAGAAATCTTATTTCAGTACTAAACATAAGTGAGCTGAAGAGAATAAAACAGACCAGCTGGTGCTGAGGCCCTTGTTTGCACGGGAGCTGCAGGGGAGCTCTGGACCATGAGCTGGTGCGGCCCCACGGCGGGTCCCCACCCGGCGCTCGTCCCCCCCATCTGCGCTGGGGCTCTCCCCTCCGCCCTGCCGGGTTTCCTGCCATTCTCCTCCCCCAGCCCTGCTCTGGGCTCCTGAATGAAAGAAGCCAACAGGATCAACCGGGTTTGGCTGCCGGTATTATTTCACCTTTCAAAACCAGAGTAAAAATAGAGAGCTGGACTAAAAATAGGCAGTGACCGGGTCTGCCAGGCACTGAGCACGGGAAGCTCACGGGTTTGGTTTCCAGTGGAAGTCGGGCTGCGTTTAAATGACATTCCCTGTGTCAAAGATGTAGGGTCTCATTAATACTTAAGCCCACTGTGTGCACGGAGTATGTCAGACCATGCCTTACAACTCGTTTTAGGAGAGGCACTCAGCTAAGCATGGCACAACAGGTAAAACTGACATATCCTCAAAGGAAGAGCCAAAAACCCCTCAAAATCATTTGATTATTAAGATTATTCTGTCATTGAAAGCACTGTCTTCAAAGGATGCTTCCACCCATCCAGCCACTCTGCTTCTTGAGCCTCAGCCATCCCTCTGGCGCAGGCATCGCCGTGCTCGCCGTCGGGGACGCGTGGCAGGGGTTGGTGGCAGAGGGACCCTCCCTGCCCCCACCACGGCACTGCCAGCGGCCGGGCTGAAACCCGGCTGGCCCAGCCTCACTGGGGGCAGGTCGGGCTTTGCTGTCCGACGTCCATTCGCAGTCACGTTTCCAAGATGCTGTGAAATGGGCAAGCTCTTCGGCTGGGGGGGCTGTGTGTGTGCACGCCTCCAGGCATATTCCAAATATTCTGAATATCCAGCTGCAAACAGGCTCTTTGGTTGTTTCCGTCTGTTTATTCAATGAGCGGAAGATAACACCTTTTCTCACTGATACGAGCCTCTGTTTAAACCTCTGTTTAAAGTGACTCGAGCACGTGGCAAACGAATACTGTAGAATTATTTCCTCCTTTCAGACTCCTAACAGATTTTTATAGCTCAAAATTTAAAGAGCAAAACACGAAACCGGCACTTGAATTCTCTCGCGGCGCTCTGTATCAGCTGCGTAAGGTTAACGACAGCCGAGCCAATATCAACTAAGCATTTACAGGGTCAAGTGTCCAAATTTCAAACACCACAGTGATGAAGGCTTGTTCACACAGACTGGGAATTTCTCCAAGTATTTAAGGGTGATTTAATTTAATTGTGAATGATGCAATAGACATATGGCTAGGAAGTTATATGCCAGGAAACATGTTTTCTATAAGTATTTTAGCAGGCAGATGGCATACAATAGTTTTGGAGTAGTCATTTCCTCACCTCTTAAAAGTTGCTATTTTGGACAGATGAAATAATTAGATTTCCACCACCCTCCCAAGACACCAGCACTGCTGACCCAGAGGATGTGTAGCACTAGAGGACTATTTCTGTACAAAACCCCATCAAATAAATCAAACCTTACACCCACCTACCCACTGCCATTCAGGAGATTCAAAGCATTTTAATAACTTTCCCACTTAAATCGAAAGCGAGCGAGCAGTACTCCTTACAGCACTCCCACCGCACGGCGACAGCAGAGGCACGTGAAGCGCTTGGAGCGACGCCACACCACAACTAAACCCCAAAAGCCAGAAGTTGTGTGTCTCAACCCACAGCCTTAGCAACCAAACCGCACCACTTCCCAGCCAGCCCAACCCCTTCTGGCAATCACAACCCATCTCCTCCGTCCACCCTGCTCAGGCCTCCCAAGAACTGCTGCGGGAGATGCAGCTTGCGGGAGCGGTACGAGCACCCCTACGCCTGTACGGGGTGGGACAACCAGAGCAGAGTACGAAGCTGTAAATAACATGGTATGTGAGTGAAGCTTGGGTTATTTCTCTGAGTAAAGCTTCTAAGATGCTGCTGGGACAACGTCTCCTTTGTGTTAACAGGAGGCACAGGACCAAATCCTGACCGGGGCTAATGCAGGACACAAACTCTCTGCTCTGAGCGGACAGCTCCTGGGGAGCAAACTGATTGTGATTCATCTAAGAAATGGCAAAGAGCTCAGAAGTTACCCTAATATTATCATCTTTATCATGATTTCCTGCAGAACTTGTCATCTATTTGGTTTATTGTGCTTGATTTCGCACGTTATTATATTTATATTGTAACTCTTGGGGCAGGAAATGCTTCCTTTACCAGTGCTTCACAAACTACATCCTGAGACTCCTATCAAGGCATCCTTTGTGCAAAGGCTGTTCTGGAGAGATTACCGCCTCCATTCCTACACCAGAGCTGCTCCGAGGCCATCTGCTTCTCCCAGCCCTGGAAGAGCCACTCACCCCCGATGAAACATCCCTGCGTGTGCCGTGGGCACGCTGCTCTCCATTACAGGAGGATGCTGGACGAGACCTCTCTTGCCCCTTCACCTACAACTGTAAGCGAGGGTTCCCCCACTCCTCCCTTCTTTGTAATCCCAAAGGAAAACCTCCTGCTCTGGCAAGAAACACACAATTTGTCTGGGCTCTTAAATTCACTCTCAAACTGAGTGCACAGAGCTTTTATTAACCATCATTTATGAAAGAACCCTGCTTTGCGATACCACTATGCCTAGGGGCTTGCACTCTTTTTCTAAGTCTTATTTAAATACAGTTCTCAAAATTAAAGGGCA